ATGTAGAAGAATATAAAAAGCTAAGTTTCGTGATCTGGGTGAACCATCGTGTGGGTTATATTGTGTTTTATGATACAAAACATTTGCTTTTATTATACACTTCGTTGACATTCTAAGGGAGTAAAAATTTTGGATATTAAAAACATTATATTTATTTAAAACTTCACGTATATTCTATTGTATTTGTATTCTTATTTCTTCATTATTTTAATATTTTTTAACGATCAACTGTCGCAACTTTGAGATCATTAAACTTAATAGTCTCGATTATTGTGCTATACGCATGTAGATTTTTGATGCTCGCAATTAGATCAAAATTCAATGATTAATAATAATATCCTTGTCTCCTTCTTCCATTGAGATACTGAGTCTACTCTTAATGTGTCCTTCACGTATGGGTTCAAACTTTCCTTTATCTTATACAGAAAGTAAGGAATCGTTAGCAATAATATAAAACTTACATACGTTTTCATTATTAGGCAGACGTGACACAAGGTAGTTGAAACTTGAACCTTTAATAAGATACATTACATAGTTAAATAATATTTGTATCGTCTTATTACAGGAAAATCTCTATATCTTATTTCACAACACGTTTTGTTCTATGACTAAATAAGAAGAAATCCCTGAAAACAATTTCCTCCTTTGTCCCCATCTCATTGTTCATTCTCTTCCCTTTCCAAAACGTAACAATAGACAACGTGCCAATACAATTGGACTTACTTTGAAGGACATTTTAACGATTTGTTACTTCGCGTTCGTCTTTGCTTTATATTTAAAACAAAACTAGTAAGAATTATATCTTAAAATTATTACCTAGACAATTAAAATGAAACTAATATATTTCTTCTACGAAACTAATATCTTTATAAAAAACTATAGACATTCATACGAGATTTTAGCATCATGGTTGATGCAAAGTAACCGAAACGTCAGGAGTATTTAATGTTTAAAAAAATAATAAAATACGCGTAATAATCCGAAATATATCAGTTTCATTTAAATGAATACTCGTGAAAGTCTTAGATCTCTTTCCTAGACAGTTATGAGTGTTATAATATGTTAGCTATTTTCAAGAAGATTTGCGAATATAGAGCCTGGTTGATTGTGTATATAAGACGTGTTATACAAACGAGATATTCATGGTAATGAAGCCTTTTGGAGGCTTTGTGGATATAAATTACGAGCTCGATCCCATACATTAGCCGTTATACGCGATGGAGTTGTTATTGTAGGTGGAGTTGTTGGACTGATTAATGTATGGATTAATTCAGTGCTGCCATGAAAACCCGAGTTCATTTATAGCTATACTAGCTTTCCGCCCGCAGCTTCGCCGCGTGGAGTTCGGTTATATCGCGTTTCCAAGAGAACCTTTCAAAAGTCTGGGATAAAAACTATCCTATGTTCTTTCTCAAGGTCAACTCTATCTCTGTACCGAATTTCATTAAAATCAGTTCAGTGGTTTAGGCGTGAAAGCGTAGCAGACAGACAGACAGACAGACAGAGTTACTTTCGCATTTATAATATTAGTAGGGATGAATATGGTTTGAGGCTTATAAAGAGACTATAGATATTCTTCTATCTCAAGTTTTATGCAATTTTCTTGTTTAACAATATTTTACAATCATCGACAGTAATTTATGTGCTGTCAGCTATAATTTAATGCAAAGATTAAGAAAAAGAAAGACTATTTTTAAATCACATTTATAAAATCGTTAATTTTTGGTCGTCAGAGCCAGATAAAAGATAAAAGTTTCTAAAAATACTTTAAGAGGGTACATAAAAAGACCGTATACGTAAGGACTGGATAATAAAGCTAGCAGTAAACAAGCCACAGACCTGACGGAGTATTGATGACACTTGAGATGTCTGCGGAGGATCCTCGACCTCATCACGAAATGACCTTTTAATGTACCATAAAAATTGTCAACGTTATTTCTTGGCAAAGCTGAGAGAATATCTCATACACAATTATGATTTCTGTCGAGAAATTTGGAATCATATTTTCGCATTAGACGCCACACAATGTACATAACTTTGGTCGACAGGGGAAATCAGTGTAAAAGAAAGAACCTTTTGTAAGTCATAGATAACAAGTTTGTTATTTACAACTTTGAGATGAGATATACAAAGTTTTTGTGAGTCAGTCAAATGTTCGAAAATAAGTTTTATAATTGATATCAGTCGTATAACTTTTAATGAGACAAAATTCTTTGACGTCATTTTAATACACAGTTGATTTAGTCGCCAAATACTTTTGTGAAATGTCTAATTAAAGTGAAGGGTCAATGAACTATAGAATTACGGTCCTATTATACAGATATCGGTTTTCAAAGCCTATTATTGATGAGTTCATTTTCATCAACGCCTGGCTCTTTCTTTCTGTAATTCGTCACGACATTGAAAGGAAGATTGCAATTAAAGATAATGAAACACGAACCGGGAGTAATATTTCAGAATTTCTGTCGTTTTAAGTGAATATCTTTTTATTCTTTCTATTTACAACTATACATATAAAGTGTAGTATAAACGCAGCACTCAAAATCCTCATGTTAAAAACATGGTGAATTCTACGAGAGATAACATTTAACACTCTTTGTCCTCGGCTCGTTCAAATGAAAGTAACTTGCCAGCTCTTTTGAATTGCCCGCTGTAATGTTTTTTTATTTTTGTATTCTATTCGTGACATGAATGTAAAAATAATTTTAACGTGACAAAAAAGACTGTTATTTATCATACTTTTGTTAAAGAAAAATTTTGTACACAATATAGACCTACAAAATGTCCAAAAATCTTTTTTTTTAAGATAAGATTATTTTATAAATTTCTATTTCTTTAATATGCAAGCTTTTTCACGATAAGGATGTCACATAAAATAATCTTAATTCTTGATTTAATTCCCAACATAAGAACAATAACAATCCGGCTCCTATTTGTAATCCATTTTCGTTTCCATCCAAGTCATAAATACATTTTTTGATAGTCTGAGTGCTCCGTCATCATTAACAGCATTGAGTTTGATAAGGATATATGTGATCGGACAAATATAAACATGTCAGGTAGAATTACATCAGGGAGATTATTTATATTTGATTAATACTGAACATCTCGATACAATATTAAGTAGAACGTTAGATAACTCCAACCAACGTGAATTAATAATATAGTAATACTTGGTAGTAATGTGATTATTTTAAAGTAATAAATTATACGGAACACTGCAAATAGCATACATTACGAAAATCTTTCCGATATTTAAGCATTCGTATATCTATTTATTTTATTGGAGCTCATTAAGGTCATTTAACGCAGCCATATTAAGAGTATCAAGGTTTGCTCGAGAAAAATGTATAATCCACAGAGAGGGTCGGTGCATATTGTGTTATTCGATTATCAATAGATGCTAACTAGTTTTAAATAGGCTAGAATAAAATAGCTCTAGAGAAATATTACAAGAAAATAAAGATCAAATGTCAAGCAAAGTAAAGTAATTATATAGCTTTACTGAAAATTCCTCGTTGCAAGAAAAGCGATCTCGACTTAATCGTGATATAGTGAGAAATTAAATGAAGGCTACTCGGAAAATAGAATTTGATAAGAGAATTTCTTGCGGTTATTATAGCGGTTTGTTACAGCGGAGTCGGGTGTCGGGATGAAGAATGAGGTCGTTTTAACAGAAGAGACTTGTTTATGGAAAGTCCTAGACGTGATAGTCTTTCATTATTGTAACTGTTATTGGTGCTAGATTTTATGTTAGGCCATCTTAATGAAAACATAGGGAAGGTGTCTAATAAATAATAGTCATCAGCCTATCAGAGCCCACTGCTGAGCAAAAACCTCTTTCTCACATGGGAAAAAGTACATATTAATCACCACGCTTGCTCAAGACGGGTTGGTGATTTCAAACTTATAATTGTGAAATTATAAGTCCAGGTTTCCTCACGATGTTTTCCTTCACCGTCTGTCAGTGGTGTCTAAATAATCTAACAAAGTAGGTACATATGACTCGGAAAAATCATATTGATACTTGTCAGGATCGAACCCGCGCTCTCGGGCACGAGAGGCGGACCCTTAACCACTAGGCCGCTGACTTTATAATAAATAATGTCGGTTTAAAATGTTCACTTTATTAAATGATCATAAAATAAGCAAGTATACCTTATCGTATTTTACGCGTTAAGCACTTTTTGATCCTGAATAAAATTGTCGGTCGGATTTGGACGCAAAGAATTTATGCGCTGCATTTTTTAAATCGCTACTGGATTCCCATTGTTACGAAAGAATTTTGGCATGAATTTGAATAAATACTAATCTTTCGTTTCAAGTTTAAATGTTGGATGTGATAGAAGTTTAATACCACCAAATAATAATATTATATTCCGAGTAACTATCGGAATGTGTGGTTATTATCATGTACGATTTACGAAAACCTTTTCTATAAACTAAACCTGAACATTTCTTCAATAAAACCTAATAAATTCTCATCATCTGTCCTATACGCACCTGGTTATTGATAGTTCGACTATCTGGAACTATTTTGAAGTACACTAAGCCTTAATAACTCCACCGGGCACACAAGACTTTCCACTTGAATCTCTCTCTTTTTGCTACGGGTTCTGATACTTGCCTTTTGTCAAACAATTTGTTTTCCATATTTGTAATATATAAATAAATTTTTCATCAAAAGTAATAACGGCTGTCATAAAACGATCTTACGATTTCATAAGTCTTAATTAATGATTTTAAATGGTGTTAAATATTAGGAAAGTACAAGTCGGGGAATTCTGACACTAGATTATTTTATAGTGGTCCCCTTTAACATCAATATAAAACCCAGGTATACTAGTTGATCCCGAACTTTTAACACTTCTAGTTATATATATTTGGAGTTAAAAAAAGATCGATATATTATATGAGAAATGATATTAATTACAATTGGTCTGTGGCATAAACAGATAAGAATCACAACATTGTAAAGCATTTTTGTAATCTCTCCACAGAGCATCTTGGGTGAATTCAATCGTGAACAAGATGCCTTCATCAAGGGTCAAGAGAAGGGTGGAGCAGCGGCTGTCGCGCCGTGGGTCGGAGCCCCCAACGAAGCAGCGCTTAAAGAGGAATGCATTTCTCTATCTACTGTAAGTCATCTCTTATTAGAACTTCTTATTATTTTCAAACTCAAACAACTTTATTCAATATAGAAGCATTACACTTTCTTATTGATGGTCACTTGAGACACTACCACCGTTAGTGCGAGAAAAAGCAAGAAAAAAACATATAAAGAGTGGACTATAATATAGGAATAAAAAAATTAGTTAAATAGCAGAATTTATGAATTACAATTGATGAAACCTGTCCTGAATTTTCTTTTTCACCTTAAATATTTAATATTGCCATTAATGCTTCAAATATTATTACGATTGAAATATAATGTAAATTATAAGCACACTTTAAGAAAAATTTAATTTAATTTATTTTGTCTCAGAACAAGTCCATATTTTAATTTTATTATTACATGGCAATCTTATAACTAATGTTAGTAAAAACAAATAATAATAATAAACAAAAAACAAACAAAACAAAACAGAAATGTACCGATAATGTTCGTACCGAATAGACTCGATCCATTGAGTGACGTAATATGTATGATGTTGTAGGACCGACGGAACTTCGTCCGCGCTCCTCCCGCGGGTGTGGACTTCGAGTTTGATTACGACAAGATGTACCCCGTGGCCGTGGCTATCATGGGAGAGGACCCCAACTTGGAGAAAATGCGCTTCGAGCTCGTACCTAAAGTGTATGTACCTTATATAAAATAATGATAGCTCCCAAAAAAAAGTCGTAAAAACAATTAGACGAATTATTCACAACATGTAAGGCAGACCTAGCTTAAAGCTGGGAAATTGCCAGGCAGATACAACAAATGATGTCAATATTTTCCTCCATACAGCATTTGTCTTTTCCTAGTACTTCAATCTTTAAATAAGTTTGAGTTAATGACACATATGAACATTACAAGCGATTTTGATAATCAACCAATTAAAAACCTATACATTTTTTTACATGTTTGTGACCCAATATATCTTTATTCCTCAGCATCACTGAGGAAAACTTCTGGAGGAACTACTTCTACCGCGTGTCCCTGATCTGCCAAGCCAATGAGGCAGACGCCGGTCGCCAGGCAAGCGCAGATGACTCTCAAGGTTAGAAATAACATACATCACTAATTATTGTATAGCATAGTCCATACTTAGTTACTCATATTTATTTTTTGTTTATCATTTTTATTTTTTTTTCCCTCAATACGATAGATGATAAGTCCGCCAGCGAAAGTCTTATAAGTAGAGAGAAAGCCTCGCAAGGTTCTATTGAGGATGCAAAGGAAAGAATAAAGTCTTTGAGAGTCGATAAAGATAATGAGGACGGTAAGAAATGATCGGTGGAAGATTTGATAGTTAATATTAAAATATATTGAGATAAATTCATTAATATACTTAACATTCCTGATAATTAATTAATTTTATTGAGTTATTTTGTCTTCTTGTATTATTTTGTTCCTTACCCTTCGTGATTGTTTTAAGTTGTATATAAGTCGCGCAGAAATGATCTCTTTATCGGTACCATGTTCATGTATTGCACCAACTATGAGGATTGTTTCCTTTGATATCCTTTATATCATTGTATTACTTCAAGCGTCTATAAAAAATATATAGGTACCTTTTATATGCATTTGTCATTAAATTACTGTGAACCAAAAAAGAAATTAGCATATTATAAAAGAAATTAGCGTATTATGATTAAAATTGTATGATTATTATCATATTTAATTCATTTATTTATATATGAGAAGATTTTTTTGTTTCACAGCTTGAAAAGATATCGTGATATTTTTCTTTACATTACTCAAGACAGTTTAATTTCGATGTGGTGAAATAAACCTGATGTTTTTAAAGTACCGTCTGTGAGCCACTTAGCCTTCAATAAATAAGCAATCATCAAATAATAATATATTTAAGTACATATAGTAAATGTATGAGGAGTCATATTAACCGAAATGTTAATATTAACTGGTGATATAATATTGTTTTCTTATTTTTGGAATGCAGCTTAAACCAGCCGAACGGATAACGAGAAGAACGCATTCGATGTATCACATATACGGAATGGTCGCTTCATACATCTTACATACACACGACATTAAAAACATTAAAATATTTATATCGCTGGTTCATAGTTTGTTTTGCTGTTGAGGGTAGTTGAAGACGACCGTTCTCTATCACTATAGAATACCATGTTTAGAATCATGATATATGATATGATATGATATGATATGACATGATATTATATGATACGATATGATATTATATGATATGACATGATATGATATTATATGATATGATACAATACGATATGATATGACACGATATGATATTATATTATATGATATGATACGATATGATATTATATGATATGATACAATATGATATGATATTATATGATATGATACAATATGATATGATATGATATGATAATGCCGTAACAGTATTATCATTGGATTCGATATCTATTAAGCTTATCACCAAAATTATATTATAAACTGTATGTATGTTCGTACGTATCGTTGTTGGTCGGTAGTGTCGTTCATAATAAATTTTAATTCTACTTACAAAGAAACGCTATCAATATATATAGAATTGGATGTATGACATTATTACTTGGAAATTATATATTAGCTTGTATCTTTATATATTCTATGGCCACTGTTGATACTTCACACTTGTCTATGTTGTTTCTATATTTGTATATTCTACGTGTGTTTCTAGAGCGATGTTCATTTTCTTCATATATTCTATCTCCCTGTTCTTGTCACTCGCCGGTCACCTCGTTTTATTGTTGTATATTTGTAAGCGTCTGTTGTATGTCTGTCTGTATGTATGTATGTATGTGTATATATCATATATTTCTATATATTCAAGTGTTCTATCTTAACATTGTACTGTTGTTACCGATGTAGGATTTGTATGACACCATTATAGAACTGTGTTAAACGAAAAAATATTAGGAATCTTCTTATTGTAAGTAGCATTTATTTTTTTAAATTTAAATCTGATCTTATGTCTTTATTGTAAACTGAATGTTATATATGTGCATAAGTTAATAAGAAAGTTTGAAATAGCGTCACGTAAACTCTGTTCTGTAGTAATATATTGTATTTGACAAGTTTTAACATTGCTACTATAATTCAGACTTAACGTACATCATTTTAGAGTCTATTTTCGCTTGTACTTTAAATTGGTTTTAATTATGGCTCTAAATACATTCTGTGGTAGCAATGTTGAAATTTAATTGTGTTGTCAGAATTACTAAATTCTTTAATATCACGTATTATGCTAGTATGGAATGCTCAACACATGATGACAATACTCCGTTCACTCAGTGTATCAGTCAATTAGTCACCGCCGGTCCTCATATATTCTGACAACACATTTTTGAATCATTTACAAGAAAAGTTGTCTGTCTGTATGTGTTAGAATCAGTCGGTGGTAACTCGGGCCTAGTACCTTGCTTCATAGCAATAATTTCTTAATGTTTCATATATAGATATATATTTTTGATGTATTATTTTGTTTATGTTTATTTATTTTGCTTCCCGGTTATTTCGTGTACATGTTACTGTCTAGCGTAGGACGGACCGCACATGACGGCGTAGTTACTAACACTTTCTATTGTCAATACATTAAAAAAATGTTTAGTGAAAATTATAACATTATAGTTATTAATGGCATTTATAGTTAGTTATTATGAATTGAAATAATTATATTATTCTAAAATAAATATTGGTGTTATTATTTCGTATCTTTTGTTAGTTCCTTAACGTTTAAATTGATTCTTTGAGAGTGATATAGCAAGAAGACAAAATAGCTCGTTTGTGGAGAAGGTATTTATTTTATTAAGGTTTCTTTATTATTATTTTATTTTGTCAATATAAATGTTTGTGTAATATTTCAGAGCAATGGGAAAAAGAATTGGAAGCCGAGTTGAAAGAATACGAGGTGGTTGTAGAAAAGACGGGAGATGATAAGTGGGAGAAGGAGTGCGAAGAACTGCTTGGAGATGAACTCGATCTGAAGTAAACGATGGAAAGACTACAGTAGACCGGAGTATACTGTAGTTGACCGGAGTAGACCGGCAGTTAATATTAGTAGATTTGAAGATTTTTGATGGATTACAATGATTTCCTCACACATCGCTTTCTTTTTTGGACGATTTATCGTCGTTTGGTTGTATGTTTGTAAATAAGGTTTTAATTATAATAATATTTTATATTCCCTCTCTACTCTACTTTTCTCCGATGTCTTTGACCACAGTTATCTTTATATTCAAAGAGACTGGTTTCATTCGGCTTCACGTTTTCATAATCTATTGTATTTAAAAGAATTTCAATATAATTAGTGATATAGGGTGTTGATAAATTAAATGTTTAAAAAATTTTGCTTCTCTGTATCGTTGTAAGAATTTTCTCTTATTATTAAGTTTTGTTTTTCAAATATTTATATTTAATAAAATTTTCAGGTTAAAGTTAATAACACTGCCAGATATTCGTTGTTTTTACACATAAATTTTCTTATTTTCTTCCCTCGTTCCATAATGTCCCGTTTTCAGACACTACGTCTTTATAACTTCGAAAACATTCCTCTGTGTTCTTAATAAATGTTTTATAAAGTTAATCATACTTTTATTTTAATTATTATAAGTTGTTTGTTATTATCCGATCTTTAGAGAGACGAAACTTCTCAGCATTTTATGGATTTCCCGTGCGGTCGACGGGTCTGTGTATAACAAAATATTATTTGTAATATGGATTTTGAAACTAATTTGTTTAGGTAAAAAAAAGCCTTGTTATTTAAACCAAATAATATTACAATATCACATTTATATATTACATATTTAGTTTCTATTTGTATATTTTATCTGATATATATCAAAACAATATTATCTTTTATATCTGAGTGACAATTGAGTGGATTTGAGATGTTCAATAGTCATGGCACGTGATGTTAATATAAGTACTGATAATATTGTTAAGTATTAGTTGATTTCATTTAGTGTCTACATGAGTTATTGAAACAAAGAAATGATTATACATATGTTTAATTATAATGGTCTATTAGCTCAATTCTTAAATTGGTATGAAGGACATATGATTAAAAAAATAGTTAATTTACGTTCAAAATATATTAATAAATAATAGCTTTATCAGAAAAAATCTCTAGGATATATCGGAGGCTTAAAAATCACTTTAGGATATGTCAGCATATGTAATATTTTTCTATTTTCGGAGAAACATATGTTTTCATTACCATTCTATCTCTTCTATTTCAAACTATCAAAAATATCACTCAATTAGTTCCAAAATTAATCCTTTAATTATTTGGAATCGCCTTGGTACCAACATCAACGGACAATCGTTTTCAGGCTTTCCATTTACTAATAATCATCTTCTTGGAAACTGCTGTATTGTAAGTCATGCTGAATATATTGAACGATTCTTTAACTCTGATTTATCTAAGGATGAACCTGTACAAGATCAAAGTTTTGGCTAGTAGTTATATGTCGCCGAGGCCAGTGGTCAATGCCATCATTATAAAAGTTATCAAACTTCTCGTTCTAATACATACACAGATCCCTTTCTTAATAATGAAAAATATATGTTTTAAGGTACCTAACAACATTCTTTTAAAGTCTGAATTTCGACTTATATTCTTTTATTTGCTCCGATGTACATGATCCATATTATTTGTTAATAATTATATCTCTCAGAATACTAACGAGAAAAGGAAATAGTGAGATACTTTAATAAGTACCTAGAAGTATGATTTGAATAAAAAGTACTTAGTTTAAAATTCTTCTAAAACTTTAGGTATTGTAGTTTGGTAATAGCGCCATCTAGCGACATTCTATAAAACTTACTATATTGCAAAATTGTGTAGTGCGACAGTGCAGGATTAAATATGTATGTCTAGGTCAACGTCATCGTGTTTTGTACATATCAGAGCTCAAAAGCACCTGCAGCCTTGTACTGAACCTACCAACTTAAATTTAATCTTTATAAATGGCAAATAAGTGTCGAACTTTACATGTAGAACCCTAATATGGATTTGAATCAAAAGTTTTTACTCACCTTACCTGTCGTATCTCGCGTATGAACAGATCCTTGAATATCAGTCATATGATAGTAACGACTTAGGTATATTGTTTATAAAATAAACTAATGGTTTCGTGCTATATAAAATTTATAATTGTAGTGACAGACTTTATAAATAACGGAATTTATTAAATTTGAAAAAGTTATTCTCACGAGATGATGTCACCGCATATCTAACTTTTAATAAATAAACTTAAAGCCAGATCTCTTTTTTGTTCATAAAATATAAAAATACTTTAGGACTGTCTCCCACTATGTATGATTTAAATTCAACATGAACATACACAATGTAGACGTTAAAGAAGTTCCTATGTTGAACTATAATTAGTATTGACCATAATTGGTCTTAGTATTTAATATTTAAAATATTTTATACATTAAGAATTAAATTAAAAAATTAACATGAAGAGTCAATATGAGCACTTTAGTTATTATACTGGACAACAAAAGTATCCGATACAATTATATGTTCAAATATATATTTCAATAATAAATAAGTTGTAATTATATAAACAATTAATTTTATTTCATTAATTCTATTTTTTTGTTGATAGATATATCGTATTTGATTCAAACATTTATTTATAAGATAAAATCTCCCGATTTGTAAACATAGTTCATGTCGAAAATTTTCAATTGCTGACTAGATAATCTAAGAATACCTAATACTTCTCGACGTCTTATCTATAGATAATAGATATCTATTACATCTCATATTAAACAAAAGTTTGTTGACTGTTCTACTTTCATTTACAAGGTATTTTTATGTTGCTTGCGTCATTTGCTGAAAGCACCGATATATATGATATATAAAATTGATTTTCTATTATTGTTTGAGTTGGTTCGGAAAAAAAGTAAAAAAAAACACTACGGATACTGAATCCAGACTGCACTTCACTCTTTACATCCACCTTTTTTTTGAGATTAGAGTCAATGTCGGGAACGAGATAAAAGGCAATGTTTCCGTTTTCAGTGTCCATTTCTTTACCAAAAATTCATCATAACGGTTCAGTGGTTTAGGTGAGAAAAGATAGCAAACAGAAAGAGTTACTTTCAGATTTATAATATTAGTAGAGTAAAACTGAATATCTAATGTTTTATTTGTTCTTTTTTTAAAATAGAAATACAAAATGAACTATAAACAATATATATAAACTTACAATACAAACAATCTTTATAATAATATCATCATAGGAATAAGGGTTTTAACTTATTACATCACGAGAACCGAGTTCCTTTACAAGAAACTTAGTTTATATGTATATATAAACCTACATCGTTAGTCGTTACTATATACATCTATATACAACACGTATTTGTACGTTCAATAAATAATTTACATTAAAAAATCACATCTAACTATAAATTATTCACGTTTTTTGTTCTTCTTTACTATCTATTACGTCTTGTAGAGTTGTTCCTTTGGTTTCTGGCAGCATGAGACAGATAAGAGCTCCTAAAAGGGGGGCGAATCCAAAAATAACAGTCGGCATCCAGGGAACGGTTCCTGACAAGTTGGAAATGAAAGGAGCTATCATGGAGCCGATCCTCATACACGTGGAACAAGCCCCCATACTCATATTCCTGACTACAGTTGGGAACAATTCTGATGTGTAAATATACACACACGTACACACTACAGACACACAACTTATTCCGACACACGCGAGTGCTAAAGTCCGTCCAGAAACTACCTGACACTAAACCCAACGCAAGCACAAAGAGACCTCCCAGAACAAAAAAGGTAATGATCGTAGTCTTGCGACCGAAATACTTGAGCAGGACTATTGATATAAATATAGATGGAATCTGAAAGAAAACGATTTATTTAGTACAGTTAAGGTTTTTGTCAGTGTAAAATATCAATGTATTATAAATACTACCTGAATGAGCCCGGCGGCTGCTACAGTGATAAACGGGTTGGGGCTGGTCTGACTGACGTACTGGTTGAAGCCGTAGTAGGTGAGGCCGGTGATCATCCATATGACGCAGGAACTGATCGTTTTTATCATCAGAGAACCTCGGAATAGATCTCCGTAGTGCGGATTCACTGTTGTCGCCTTTGAACGGATCTCCTCGGACAGACTCTTTATGGTCTCCTCTACTTTGGTTGTTGGAATTTTATTCCTGTGGAAACACTACGAATTAACCTTTTGTATTACGCAACATGTATTTCTAATGGGGTTGGATAAATTGTTCCAAATAAATGATTTAAAAAAATTGTTATTAATCATAGTCACCAATAAGTCTCAGTTTTACATAACAATGCTTGAGTACATCTTATTTAAGAACAATAGATAATATTTGATATTCAAATGTCCTAATATTTAGAAGTTATCTAACACGTGTAATCAGATAAGACAAGGTTACTGACATTTCAGCTACTTTAGTGACGACGCGAGTCGCTTCATCAGTTTTTCCCATTGAGATGAGCCATCGCGGAGACTCTGGTGCTGTGAAGAAGAATACTAAGTAGATTAGCGGAGGAACTGCCATGGCAAGACTGTAGGAGTCCCAGCTTCTATTATAATACGCAAATAAGGGCATCGTCGCGTGACCGATGATGAAAGGCAGTTGAAAGAGACAGCCACACACTTCACGATACTTCGGGCCTATCGTCTCCATGATGAGAACGAAAGAGACGACCATAGTTCCAGCGGTTGCTACCCCCAGGAGGAACCGTAGGGTTGTGAAGGTGATGTAGTCTGGAGAGAAGGCCACGGCGAACCCGAACACTATCAAGCCAACCACGGACAACAACAGGGTTTTTCTTCTGCCGTATCTGAAATCATTTTTGTATATTATTTTTATTTACGTTACCTAAAACGTCAATTTTGACGTAAATATTTCGCATAAGAGATAAATTTATCTATGTCATCCTAGATTAAGATTTAAGTGTACTTGTCAGGTCCAAATTTGATTGCAGATAAAGTTCCAATGACGATTTATTGAAATGTCAATAACAAACTACAAAATGTGTTTATTTATATTTTGACCTGTGTATGTTCTGTTCAGTGTACACATGATTTCATTTAAGAGTATTTTGGTTAACAAATTTAAAACTTTTGACAGTATTATTACTAAAAGTAAAGAATGAATAATCAACGAATACTGGATTTGTAGTATCATTTACATACGAAGCCTTTTCGTTTCTCTGGCCATAACTGTTAACAATGCTAACTTTGGATAAGGATATTGTAGTATCTAGAACCAAGTATCTTGCGTGTTTATCATATAAATAGGTAGAATCATTCCTCGTTCAATGAAATAAATACATTATATTATTTCTTTCAATTACAATTTCTGTAATATTTAAAATGTAACAGTTCATGTTTATGCGTTGGTAGTGGAAGCCATTTGTATGAACTAGTTAAATGTTTTACAGCATGGTGTGTCAAGGACTATAATTGGAATAGTTTTTCGGGTTTATGAATGTGATTATTAACACTTACCTGTCAGAGAAAAATCCAAACAGTATGCTACCCAGCAAGATACCCAACTGCAGCATCATCTGCGTGAGGCTCGTCAGCCAGCCTCTTTCACAAACCAGATCCCATTCTGATATGATAGTATTATTGAAGGGCGACGCGTCGTAACTGTATTTAATACATTCACTGTAACAGGTCATGTTTTCTCCTGTTCTCGTGGAATTATCTCCGAAGTCTGTGCACCAAAATGTTGTTTGTGGTGTGAGGAACACTATGGCCATCTGAACCCATCCTGATGAAAACTTTATAATGGGTATCGTCAGACATATCATTAGCTGCCATCTGCCGAAATGACCGATGAGGTTCGCCAAGTACATCTTCTTTGATCGCCTGCTTCGGAGAGTCACCTGGACCTGCTTGAACCATGGTTGATTGGTTGTGTTCAATCACTGATATAACATTGTTTTATATCTGGAAAAGATTTTAGTATGTTAGGACTGAATTAAATCAAACTTGCTTTACTACTTTAATTTATCTTTTAGAAAGAGAGGGCACTTTATTGGTTATTATTAATTAATATGTTTAATATATTTAAAATCAGTTTTTATTGGGTTACTCTCGCGACACCATCTCAGAGTTACTATTATTTACGGGATTTTTTAATAATATAAATGAGATTTCATTTAAAAGACGCGAAGAGAATACATGATACTAGAAATTTACTGTTTTTGTAATCAATAATCGATTTTAGAAAATAATGTTTATTACAGAAACGTTAACTAAATGTGAAGGTCATTTAAATTTTAAAGGTCACCTAAATAAATCATTTTACGTAATCTTAAAAACAGGACCAACTGACAGACTTTCATTTCGCCTGCCCGTGATCACGGCTGCTGTAGAGTAACCGAGATGTACAATAAAATGTATTTTAATTTAATAAATACCATTGAAATCTTAATAGTTTCTCGTTGTTTTATAGACAATCCTTGATATAAATCATTTTTGAATTGATGGCTTTCATATTTGGATTTTAATATCTAATATCTTGCGAAATATTTGTCGATAGCGTTTATAGAAACATCTTAATAATAAAAATATACATAATAGGTACAGTGTTCTTGACCCCGGAGTTTCTTAACGCGTAATGCCATATACAGAAATATTTATCATTGAGGATTTTCGTGAAATATTGTTTGGCTATGAAGATTGTTAAATTAAATAAAGAGATTTTAGGTTGATGTGTGCAAAATTAAGTTTTATTTTTATGTGCATGCAAAATTAACAATTATTTTTTTTCGTAAAAATTTGATAAGCAGGAGTTCAAATGAGTTTGTGGATTTATATATATCTTTTATTGTGATTTTATTTTAGAATTAATAAAATATAGACTCAAGGATTCCAGTTTTATTTAAATTATTATTTATAAAACTAGCCGTCGCGTCGTTTGAATTTTAAATACATTAAAAATCACATTCTTATCAAGATGTACATATTTTAGCTGCTTTAAATGTTTATTGCCTTAAATTTATTATGTATAAAGGATACTTATATTTTGAATATATTTATTGTATTTAAAGCATGAAGTAAATTAACGATATTATTGTTTTATTATTTTAAATATTTATTTTCATATAAAATTATATATATAAAAAAGAATATAGGTACTCTAAGGTTTAATAAGTGTAAACCTTACATAAAAAATACTTGTGGAACTTTAATTTGATTAATTACAAAAAAAGAACATCACGAATTACAATCAAAGGAAGAATTGAATTGAAATCAAGCTATTACATAGTTTTTGTTACTTTCAATAATTCGATTACAATTAAGGTTCTATTGTAAAAAGTTATAATCAATAATGTATATTGTTAGTATTATTTTCGAGTTCGGTTTTTTTAGAGTTCATTTAGTTCACATCCACACATTTGTATTTAACAACAGGTTTGTAAACTTTAATAATAACATCGACTTATTTGTAAAAAATGTTACAATGATCAGGTACTGGGAAGTTTTAGTTTCTTCATTGCCTATTGTTCATCAAGTTGGGATGGATTGTTGTCTTTTCCGTCTAAATGATATTTTAAATTATAAAGTTTGTATATATATATATATAGATATGTGGGTGAGTTTAAGAATAAGTATATAGGTTATATCGTGTATCAAAACACGTGACAAAAGCTATAAATATGTGTGGGTACCGGTTTTCCACACTTTATATATTTGGTTCTAAGTTCTATTCCAAAATAATGAAATTACGGGGAAAGTTACAAAGAAAAAAATTTCTTCTTCGAATTTTTTTTACCAAATTCCTTTGATAAGTAATGAAAAGTTAGTTTTTATGGACCTACAGCCAGCTTCGTATTTTAAGTCATGAACAATATAACATTGTACATTCATTTTAACACAATTTCTATCGCCCACGATTATCGTCCTCGACAATGTATTGTTAACTTTGTATAAATAATGGTTTTAACATAAAAAATATTAAAGTTCCAGTCTTGGATAAGGCAAGAACTCGGTAAGAATTAAGAATTAAGAGTAGGTTATTAATCAAAATATATAATGATGAAGGTCGCCTTAAATATATAAAAATCAATAATTATATAGTTTTTTTTTAAATAAATATTAAAGAATAGGTTGTTGTAAAACTTTGATATAAATTTATATAATTTAATTATTTTAACAAAAGTCCTAGACTCATTATGTATAATAAAATGCATTTTTATTTCTCTAATAAAATATAATATAAAGTAGTTATAATAGGTCAAGAACATTTAAATAATAACAAACCTTTTATTTGCATTGTTATATTTGTAACTAAAAAAGTTATAATTAAATTATTTTGAAATCTGATTTTCTACAACACCTTTCCTATATTTTTCTACTATACCTTCCTTATTACTTTTGTAGACCAAATTATTGTTTGTTACAATCGATCTATTGAATGTTATATTAGTTTAAAACCGTCAGTTAAATATATGAAAAAAACCATAAGCTAGGGTTTTAATATCGTCTCACAATCTTTAAAAATACTTACTTTTAAATCTACTTTTAATTCACGATAAGAATTATTTCAAAATGGTTGTATAACATTCAAATATTTAATATTATATTACCATTAAATATAGTTATTATCAAATTAAATTATAAATATCATTCCTATATTAATTAATATATAATCTTTCCGAGAAGATATTCTTATTTGAGTGCTATTTTAATTTAACTACCTTATGTTAATGAGTTTATCCTTATTAATAAATATACGTACATAAGTACGTATAAGTACTTACGTGCTTTTTTATCTTTTAGTGAAAAATATTTTAAACTTTGTTTAAATAGACGATTCAAATAAAAATAGATAAATATTGAATATACTAGATAGATTAAAATTTAAATCATTGAGTGGAACAAATGAGTGTAGTTTATGTTATATAATTAAATGTGCACATAATATGTAAGTGAAAATTTGTAAAATTCTATTAATTGTTATATATTTCGAATGTAAACACAATAATTCTTACCAAAAACACAACACGAGAACTTATAATACTTGCAGTAAACAAGAGTTTACGAGCAGCGTCTCTGTCGGAGCTCGCGGTAAACACTGATGACTGTACAGTTTGTGTTTACATCTCACCTCTGTTGTAGCTTGATTTTGATAATGGACATATATAAAAAGTCTAGCTGACACTTGGACTATGTTATCTAGATTGCAAACTAACTGTGACTCGAGACTTTGTCTGCGATTTTAATTGTTATCTATGCAAATTCCGTACATAGACGATATATTTTTTTTTGCTTGATAACAACATGATTTTTGATCATTGTCTTAATAATATTATTTTGCATAAAAAGTTCTACTTAATAAGTTACTCTACCGACTTGAACAAAGTTACTATTCGAAATAACTCAAGAAATTAGTTTTTTAGGTTAATTTATTGAAATATTAATAGTGTGATAAAACTAATTCGTGTTGAGAAACACATCGATAAAAATATCGTTAAATTAACATATCCTGATGAGTCTGCACTCACTGAATGACTTTGATAGAATTAATTATGAGGAGAATAACTTCAATCTAATTATGACCAACTCTAATTAAAGTTTGATTTGATTTGAAAGACGTTTTGGTAACATCACTCGAAATTTTAGTTTCTAAATATTTAAAATGTATAAAAATTTAAAACTTTAAACTGATTTAGCTGATAACGTAAATGAATATAGAGAAATAATAAATATATCTAATGAGAGTTATACCAAAAATATTTCAAGGTGTATTTACGTAAGGATGAAAAAAAAATGACAATTAACGTTTTAGTTTAAATTATCCAAATTTATTTTATACATTTCTTATTTTATTTCATTATATTATCGTATTATATTTACTAGCTATACTCTTGACCGTGACTATGTCCTTATATATTTCGTCCGTGTCACACAACGCGTTGTTTTTCCTTCACCATCAGCATAATAATGAACTCACAATAAGAATATGACTGTAATAAATGAAGGGAATTATCTCAAACTATTTTATTACTGTCAGAAGAAATCTGGTTCGACAACTTAATTTTTTAACTAGTTGGCCTTTTAAGGACCCGAGTTATTTTTTCTAAAATAAGAATTAAAAAAATATATTAACAGGAAATGTTTCGTTTGCTTTCTTGTTTTTGTTCAAAATCATTTAAAAACTATCCAATTTGAATTGTTTGTTTTTCTCTGAACGGTTGATAAATGATAAACGAAACTTTTTAAAATTCATTATACGTCGCTCATCGATTACGAATAGTAATCAGGTATATGACAATTGAAGCAACGTGTATAAAAAATCTTTGGATGTTTGTGTGGCGCAATTAAAAAAATACTGGAGGTACAACACCTTTAAATGAAAGTATACTAATACTAGCTTGAAATCATTTATTACAAAAACAAATTATAGTGAAATTGAGACCACCAGAAAATTTAAAAACTTGTTATCATATAGGCGCTTGTACTATTCCTTTGAACTAATAAAATACTTTAAAACCGATCTTTTTTACGATAAAATAGGGAATAGAAAAATAATCATATATCAAACATCCTAGCTTGATTACAAAATAGACCTTTAACGAATGACCTAAATCGTAGTTATGGAAATGTTTGTTGATCCCAAATAAGGAAACTAGTTAATGATTAGTTCCTTAAATATACAGAGTTTAATATTGGTTAAAGTTTTTGTCAAACTTTTATCCAAATCGGTTTTATTATCAATATAACTGTAATTTATAATCATTTATTTTTCAGTATTTTTTGCTAAAATGGCAAACCTAGAATCAAATATGTAATAATAGTTTTAAGATGTCTGTATTCCTACTTTTTAGTTCTTCTGTTTAAAGATCTGTATATTTAAATTAAACTAATATTTTTCGGATTATACTAACGCGTATTTTATTATTGTAATCTACATACT